AAAGAGTGTGAGATTCTGGAGGAGATGGAAAAAGAAAGCAGTCCTAGGTAAGACAGAGACAGTCTAAGGGAGGAAAGAGTTGACAAAAGAGGAGTGAGTAGTCACAAGGAGAACAGTAGAGGGGAAAGCAGTAGTCTCTGGGAGATCAAAGTAGAGTCCAAGGAAGGACAGAAGGAACTGCAGTGGCACAATAACAGTTGTTTGTCTAAAACTGAGGTGTTTGCTGTGCTGTTTGAAATGTCAACACCCTCTTGTCCCCCTTTTTGAAAGGGGAGACACCCCTATTCTCAGGAGTTTACCAAAAAGAAGGAGATCTTTGACGTGGGAGTGCTATGAATTGCCAGGGAATCCAGGGACAGAGAAGAGCCAGGGTCTCTAAGTCAGAGGCTTGCCCCTTGTGAAGCTCCGAGGGCTGGCTTCAGGGTGTCTTTTGGGAGAGAGAGACTGCATAAGGCTTCTTCTTGAGGAGTCCTGAGGCAGAACTTCCTCCTAAAAGCAGTGAGATTCATGACAGTTGCATTCAAAAGTTTTCTTCACTAACAGGAGGACTAAGAACCTTTTCTTTCCAAATGAAAGCTTTCATGCTGTACAAGATGAACATATTGTGGGGGGGATCAGATAAGTGTTTGATGTATGACTTTGATCTGTGCTGTTAACTCTGACAGTGCCTGTTTTGTTACATATTGCATATTGTGTGAAACTCCTTACATTTAAAACATGGTGATGCAAAAATGAAATTATTTTGGTGTCAGAATTCACAATGTTAAATTTTAGATTTGTCATGATCTTGTATTTTTTTTAAAACTAGCTGTGGAATGGACACAATATGCTTTGGCATATATTTTTAACTCTACCTAATTTTGGGATTTGTTATTCTTGGCAGAGACCTTGGAACAGTTGGTGCCGTTGCTATAGACAGTGAAGGAAATGTAGCTTGTGCAACATCCACTGGGGGACTCGCTAATAAACTGGTTGGCCGTGTTGGTGATACAGCATGTATAGGTAGGGTAAAGAAAAGTGTATTGTTCTCAGTAGAGCTACTCCAGTTCTTTATTTATTTGTGTGTTATATATATTAGTATATATTTAAATTATATATTGACCTGGGTGATCTAACATGTTATGAACATATCAACACTACAGGCAGGGCCTTAATGTAACATGTGCATTTGTTGTTCAGTTTTTTTAGAGCCCTGTCCTTAATGTAACAAATGCATTTGTTGTTCAGTTTTTTTAGAGCCCTGAACTTAGAAATAGAAGAATTTTATTTTTCTCCTTCCCCTGGAACCCTAACTCAGTTAGGTCTGAGTTTTCACTTTCAGGTCCCTTTTCACAAATCCAGTGTCTAACCTGCTTTTGGACTTCAAGGCAGGCAAAAGTTCAGCCTTTCTTCCTTCAAGGTGCTATCTGTTAATTATTCAGATCACTTCTAATCCAGGAATCGTTCAAAGAAAGAAATCACAATTAATAAAAAATGGGACTAGATGTTTTTCCTTTCCCCTTATTTCATTTTAATCAGATGCAATTTCAGCTTTGTCATTGGAGTTACATTATATCAAAGAGGAAAATTCAGCCAGAGGTCTCAAAAGTGACTTAAGTTGCCAGTCATTTTAATTTAATGCTTTGAATCTTTCAATATGTTCTTGTTCATTAAAAGCCACAAAAATCTCACTTGAGAGCATGGCAGGTGGGGACCAGACAAAACATAAAAAATTACTCCTTTCTATATAAAGAGGCTTGCAATCCCTTCCCCAGCAAGTTTCTCTTATGAGGCAGACTTGCCCCAAGGCTCGCCTAGTGTCCACATCCAAACGAGCACGGACACGCAGTATGTGGCACTGCAGACCTGTCTGCGGCATCACATACCACACATACAGGCATTCCCTGCATTGCTACCTTGGAGAGTTTTTTGACCCCAGGAGATGCCAGGGTCAAAAAAACCCAGACTGAAAAAACTTGGGGCAGCTCATGTGGTTAGCAGTGTGTGCTGCCCAAAACCAGAGCCTGGATGGCCGGAGCCACACTCTGGTGGCTGGCCAGGCTTTCTGCTCTGGCTGCAGCCCTGGGAGGTCCCCAGGACCCCAGGTAAGGCTGCTGGGGCCAGCACAGTTGCTGGCCCCAGTCTCCCCTACCTCACCCGGGGCACCCTGCTGCACGCTAGAGCACGCATGGCATGGGTGTGCCACTGCTACTTGTTCAGTGCCACAAGGTGTGTTACTGCTACTTGTCCCTGGGGAAACAAATGCCTGTGCTCATCTAGATGTGGCTAGTGATTTCTTCGTGAAATTTTCATAGAACTGGAATCTGGAAAAATTGTAATTATTTTAGAAAAATATGTTCCAAATTCAAACAGCACTCCTAGCAGCAGCTGATCAGGAGAATAAGAGCAAGCACTTCCTTATGTAGCAAACCTATTTTGCTAGCAAATATTTTGATACCTATTGATTGGATTTTCAGTTTGCAACTTCAGTTGGTTCAGTTGCTGAACCAAGGCTCCTTCTCAACATATCATAAATAGCCTTTTCCCTAAGAATTTTTCATCCCCCAAAGGGTGCTGAGGGAGTTGGCTGATGAGATTGTAGAACCATTAGCCATCATCTTTGAAAACTCATGGTGATCAGGACAGGCCCCGGATAACTGGAAAAGGGCAAACATATTTAAGAAAGGGAAAAAGGAGGATCCAGGGAACTACAGAACAGTCAGTTTCCCCTCGGTCCCTGGACAAATCATGGAGCAGATCCTCAAGGAATCAATTTCTAAGCACTGGAAGAAGAAGATGATTAGGAAGAGTCAGCATGGATTCACCAAGGGCAAGTCATGCCTGACCAACCTAATTGCCTTCCCTGATGAGATGAATGGCTCTGTGGATGTGGGCAGACCTTGATTTTTTTAGCAAGTCTTTTGGTACAGTCTCCCACAACATTCTTGCAGGCAACCTAAGGAAGTACAGGCTGGATGAATGGACTGTAAGTTGGATAGACAACTGGCTGGAGCATTGGGCTTAGTTAGAGGGTAATAATCAACAGCTTGATGTCAGGCTGACAGCTGGTATCAAGTGGAGTGCCTCAGGGGTCAGTCCTGGGGCTAGTTTTGTTCAATGTCTTCAATGACCTGAAAGATGGCATAGAGTGCACCTTCAGCAAGTTTACAAATGACACCAAGCTGTAGGGAGTAGTAGATACACTGTGGGGTAGGGCTAGGATTCAGAGTGACCTAGACAAATTGGAGGATTGGGCCAAAAGGACTCTCATGAGGTTCAACAAGGACAAGTGCAAAGTCCTGCACTTACGACAGAACAATCCCATGCAGCACTACAGGCTGGGGGCTGACTAGCTGGGCAGCAGCTCTGCAGAAAAGGACCTGGGGGTTACAGTGGACAGTAAACTGAATATGAGCCAGCAGTGTGTCCTTGTTGCCAAGAAGGCCCCCCGGCAAAAGGATGTGGACGAATTGGAGGGAGACCAGCAGAGGGCAACAGAAATGGTGAGTGGGTTGGGAGACATGACTTATGAGGAAAAACTGAGAGAACTGGGCTTAATCTAGATAAGAGGAGACCAAAAGGAGATTTAATAACAGCTTTCAGCTACCTGAAGGGGGGTTTGAAAGAGGATGGAGCTAGACTGTTCAGTGGTGGCAGATGACAGAATGGTCTCAAGTTGCAGCAAGGGAAGTTTAGGTTAGATATTAGGAAAAAAGTTATCACTAGAAGGGTAGTAAAGCAGTGGAACCGGTTACCCAGAGAGGTTATGGTATCCCCATCTTTGGAGGTTTTTAAGACAAGGCTAAACAAAGCTTTGGCTGGGACAGTCTAGTTGAGGGTGGTCCTGCTTTGAGCAGGGGGTTGGACTAGATGACCTCCTGAGGTCCCTTTCAACCCTAATTTTCTATGGTTCTATGATTAGTATAACCATGTCCTGTGATGAGAGAGTTTTACCGTTATAATTATCTTTGAATTAAAGAAAATTGAAGGAGTCAAAAACAGAGAAAATGACTCAATTCTCCAGAGTGCCTAGAGACAACTCCTACTTTTAATTGCCCTGGACCAACTTTAATTTTTTTTTTTAAAGATGTAGTTCAGTGAGTGGTAGTTTTATGTGAGCATTTTGTTAGGTTATAAATTGGCTGTAGAAACTGAACTTTTGTGTTGTTCATGAATTGACCTCAAGGATCTTATTCCAATCCTCTGTAGTGATGCAGGATATACTGTTCTTACACTACCCCAGGGTTTCTCAGCTGGTGGGACACTCTAGGTAGGACTTGGGTCATGCCACGGTGGGACTTCCGGTTTCACTTCTGCGTGCGTGTTTCGATTGGCTGCTGGGTGTATTTCCCCCGCCCCCCGCGTGCTCTTTGACTGGCCTCTGCAGGGACCCTCCCCCCCCACCCCCACTCGTTGACCAGTGGAACCAGGATTTTTTGACCTTGCATAGGTGGGTCGTAAGGTGCAAAAGGTTGAGAACCACCACACTACCCCATGCAGATACCCAACCAACCTTTCCTTGTAAATCTTCATGGAAGGAGCATTCACAACCTTCTTAGGTAGCCTGTTTTAGTGTCCTACTGTGTGTACAATTAATCATTTTTCCCAAGATTTATTTCTCTTTGTCCTTCCCCCTCTTTTCTTTCTCTGGTGTTTTTTAATCTTCTTTATGACAACCTTTTAACTATTGGAAAACTGATATTATGTCTGTCCTGCATGTCCTTTCCTCCATACTTAAATCTATTACTTGATTCAGTAGGAAGGAAAAGTTACCCCAGGGCTCCCCTAGATCACTGCACCTTTTTAAATGTGCCAACAAGCTTGAAAGCTGCTCTCCCCTGCTTATTAGCATGCTGTCTGTCCTATTTCCTAGCTAGCTCTTGCATTGTGTCTGTTGTCCACTGGTCTTCACGTTCCTACAGTGTTCTTTTCCAGCCAGTTATTTGTTAGTACAGGCACAGCTAACTCCTTCTTAGCACCTGATCATCTACCTCCCACCATTGCCAAAGTTGCCTTGCTGCCCTTTCCTCAATCCACCTGCATCTTCTCTTTGGAACAGGAAACTGTATTCATCTCTCCATCCTAATCTCTAGTTCCTTAGTTTTCTTCCTTCCTCATTGTGTACTACCTTTCCAACCTTTATATCTTAACAATCCGCCTCTTCCAGCTGTTGCTAATTTCTCTTATATATTCTGTTGCTGAAACTATATTAAAAAAAATCACATATTACCTTAAAGGGGTTTTGCCTCCCCAGAAGTCAACAGAATTTCCAGAAATTGACCTGTAACTTGAAATAATACATTTCTGGGTTTTACCTGTTTTAATCTTTTTTATTTTTATGAACGGGGATCCTGGTTTTCTCTGTTTAAAACCCCAAAATCTGCGATTAAAATGAAGCGCCACTATATATATTGGTATCAATTGAACACAATGTTTTATTGATATATTTACAATTTTAAAGCAATCTGAAAGCCTATCAGTGCCTCAATCACTATAATAAAATACATTCTAAATACTTATACATTTTGTTTATTTGATTTTTGGGGTTTTTATCCTGGAAAATTAGAGCTCCCCCTGCCCCCTTCACTCACCAAAATGCAGGTCCAGCCCTCTCGCTCCCAAGCCACAGCCCCCCGCCATCCCAGCCCTGCCAGAGGGAGCCCCCAGCTGCCAGGGCTACAGAGCCAGGGACTTGGGTCCACAACCCCCTCCCCCCAGCTCCTTGCAACAGCACCTGAGCCCACCTGCTACCTTCAGGAGGCAGTGGCACTGCGATGGAGCAGAACCTGGCTCCACATCCCCCATGGGCGGCATGGCCAGAGTGTAGCTCACAAGGGGGGCAGATGTGGGCTCAGGCTCCCCACCTTGCTGCCCTCCCCCAGTGCCTCTGTGGCCCAGCTGGCAGGACCTGGCATGGCAGGGTCGACTGGCTGGGCAGGGAAACTCCTTGCCACCACTGCAAGCCTCACGCTGCCATGGCGAGGCAGCAGCAAGGGCCACAATTCTGTGCTGCCGCCCCCACTGCTGCTGGATGGGCAGGGGGCTTGCAGTGGCAAGGAGTTTCCCCGCTCTGCCCTGCTGTGCTGGTTCCTGCCCACTGGGCCACAGAGGCCCCAGGGGGAAGGCAGCAGGGCGGGGAGCCCCAAGCCCACACCGGGCAACCCGCCTCCACCCTGTGCACAGATCTGGGGGGGCACATGCACAGTGCTGGGGAGCCAGCCCTGCCCCCCAGACGAGCCACCCGCGGCTCTGTCCTGCTCCCCAGGAGGGCCCTGTGGCTGCGCATTCTGGCCCTTTGCCCCAAGCCCCACGCACCACCTGGCTAGGCAGCAGCCCCAGCCATGCCCAACTCTGTCCCTATGGGGGCCTTAATCCTTCCTCCTCCACCAGGCTTATCTGCAGGAGCTACTCTCCAGGCTGCCTGGTGACCATGTACACATGTTTGCACAGATAAACACATGGCACCCCCTGCCTGACTGCCCTCCTCCCACTCCCCCAGTCCCTTGCAGGCTGAATTTTGTCAGCCTGCAGAGAGATCTCTGCAAAAGTGAAACATCTGCATGTTTCTCCGTTAATTAAAAATCCACACGTTTCTTGGGTAAAAGAGGAAATCTGTGATGTTTTCCGTTTTTCTGTGAGAAACGGAAAACCCAGTTCCCTGGTTATAAAGCATAGAGAAGAGTCGCATAAGTTATGGGGGTTTTTTTTCTTTTCCTATGTTCTCTGAGCAGGAAGTGGAGGTTATGCTGACAACCATGTTGGTGCTACTTCTACCACAGGGCATGGAGAAAGCATTATGAAGGTGGTTCTAGCACGATTGATCCTGTATCACATGGAACAAGGTATAATTTAAATTCTGAATGAAGGAAAGTGAAGTTGGAACTCTCACCAAACATTCAAAACATGTAAATTATACTCCTTGTGTTGCAATTTTTCCCAGAAGTTTTTGGTTGAGTTATTTCTAAGAACACAAATATTAGTAAGAGTAATAAAACTGTAAACCAGATAAATTCCAACTGTCTAATTACCAAAACTATCTTTACTGCTCGAGTCTGTCACATTTTAGATGCAGTATAATAAAATGTCATTAACTATGTACATTATTTCATGTTTGACCTTTCTTAAACAAATAACTTTACCTTTTTTAAGCAATAGCTTTATGAGCAATGAATTTGAAAACAAGCAAGGAGGAGAGAAATACTAGAGTTCTGTAACAAAAAAAGAAGTATATTGAGATTCTGTACAAACAGGTTATAACAATAGGATTAAATAATGGCTCATAGCAAAAGACAGACATTGAAAAACACTTTTTGTATTTAAAAAGAAATGAATATGACTGAAATTTAATTTTGTTTTGGAAAGTATTCTAAACTGTATGTTAGGTAGACTCTGTGCTATGTGGTAAACAGCTGACATGGAGCGTCTCATGTGACTGTAACACAATCTAACTGCGGGTGACCCTTTCAAGCTTTACCTTCATGAGTTGGAATGTCATTGAAACCCTTGATTATATTACATCCTGTAAACCTAGCAAAAGCGCCATACTTGTATTGCATGCAATTATAAAACCATTAATATAGACATCACTACTACTTTTAGATAGCTGCACTTTACAGTTGTTACAAACATCTACTTAACTTCTGAGATTCTTAACAGAATCTGAATGATGGTAGAACACTTCTAATTTACATATTTATTAGAGAAACATTAAACAGGAAATCTAGTAACAGCTGAGAATATATATACCTATCACGTGTTTTATTCATGTATGCTATTTGTAGTTAACTCTCTTGACTTGGCCAAAAGAAATAAGGTAGAAGCATAAAATATAAGATCCCATGCAGATTTTGTGCCTTCTTAAAGACCTTATGTGCCACAACTTCACCTCTGTCATCTATTCATTCCTTTCATATGTAATGCCCCAAACTTTAAGTTACTGTAAAGAACTATGAGCCAGATTCTTTTCTCATTGACAGAAATTTTGCAATGGAGAAAGGTTTAATGAGATTTCTATTTCTCACCACTGCAATCAGTTCTTTAAAATATATATGTATTTCTGAATATTTCCTGGGGGAAAACGTTCTCCATACCCTGAAGTATAATCCTACTGGCAGGCAAATACCACAATGGACAGTCCTTTGTCCCTTAAAGAGGGGGCCAAAATTTAATCCCGCAAGTCATTGCAACTTTGAATTCTAGAGCAGTCCACAGAAGCAGCATATTTAAGAATAGTGAAAATTCCTAAATTAATAATTTAAATAAACTTATTTTAGGACCATTCCTGCAGGGCTTCAGTCACATGAGCAACCCATGTTCACATGAGTAGTTCCAGTGACTTTAGTGAAGCTACATAAACAAGTAAAGGACTACGGTGTTTTGCATTAACACCCATGTGTAGGGTAAAATTTACAAAAGAACCTGCCTCGCTGACAGAGACACACAAGCTCTTAAGTGTTTGATTCATTTTTGAAAATTAGACCTAGTCTCCAAAAAGACTTTGAAAAATGCCCTCCTCAGTACCTATATTTGGAAGAGAAATAACGTATGTAATACTACTCAAGATACGTGTAAGGCAGCCTGGTTGTCCCTCAACACTTTTCATTTGTAAAAATCACTATAGTTTCCCAGTATTTGAAGGATTTCATGGAGCAGTATGCTTTGTTTCTACAATTAGATGGATGCAAATTCAGTTAATTCTTGTTACATATAAGCTGTGAACTGTTGTCAAAATCTTAACATCTATTGGAATTTTTGCCTTATGGCAGCAGCTGTTGCCTTGATGAAAAGTCGTAGAATGAAATCCTTACCCTGTTCTAGTCAGTAGCATTAATTTAAATTGCCAGGATAGCACCCATAGCTAAGATAATAAGTGTCTCAGCCAGCCAGTATAACAAAGATTGCGAATACATTCCATTCTGTTCCTCTCCACCCCCAAGTTTGAGGAAAGGCTTCATGCATATCACTAGTAGGAAATGTGCACCCTACTGTACGTAACACCATAGCTGATTTGGTATGAAGACTGAGTACCATTGCATTTCTGGACAAAAATGCAGGGCTATAGCTTATACATTAGAGCCTAATAGCTAATACCAGACTTCTATGTATGATGCAAACAATACTTTCAGCTTATTTATAAAATGTTCCAATTAGTAAGAATTAGTAAGTGTGGTAAAGAATATCTATTAGCTCCTGGTGTCTTTGTATAGTCCATTCAGCCTCATTGTCACAAGCATAGTTTAACCACCTACAGATCCTGTACCTGCAATAACATTACTGTCCAAATTACCAAAATTAATACCATACCTAAATTTATACTCTCTGAGCTCTTCAGTGTTCTGTGGGTTTATGACTGGGGCAATGTATTTATGATCATGAACATCATGAATTTGAAGGACAAATTTCATGGCAGGCTTCTAGCAGTAATTTTGCAGCATACTGAGTGTAAACACCCACAAAAAACACAGCGTGTCACTGAATTATAAGGTTGATCACTTACTCTACTTCAAAGATTGAAACCTGTGAATAATTTGAAGCTACATAACTGCTTTGCTATAGTAATGCAATTCTTTTGCAACTATTCACATCCTTCACATAAATGAAGTATTTCCCTCTTCCCTGTTCTACTCGTAAATAGTTGGCATTTAATAAGGGAAGGAAATAGAAAGGGGCTGGTTCTTCATAGGGTTTGAAGTTTGAAGGAAGTTTTGCATGGATTTCTGTGGGAGCCTGATGCAGGTTTTATGTAACTGTTAATCTTGTGTTCTTGTTTTCAGGGATGTCACCAGAGGAGGCTTCTGATACTGCTTTAAATTGCATGAAAACAAGGGTGGGAGGATTGGGAGGTGTCATTGTTGTCAGCAATTCAGGGGACTGGGCAGCAAGGTTCTCCACCAAGCAAATGTCCTGGGCTACAGTGAAAGATGACCAGTTGTATTATGGCATTTACACTGGAGAGAGGCTTACAAAATCCTTTGAAGAAGCACTAACATCTGAAGGATTTTGAAGATGTAAAAGTCAACTGCAGAGCAAAGTAAAGATCCAAAGTCTTGTTGCGGAGAAAATTGATGTCTTTTTCAGAAAAGATCTATCCCTATTAAATATTTCAAGAACTCACCATGGTTTGTAAGCAAACAGATTTAGACACAGAACCAATCATGACTCTGGATATTGAAATGTCTCTGAAAGGCACAGGTTTAAAATACAGGCAAGTGATGCATGTAAGTTTCCCCAGTCTTCTGGTTAGTGCATCAGCCCTACATTAGAGATAGGCAGTGTCAGAATGAGAGAGGAATTCATCTTCATTCTTAATCTCTGAGACTTCCAGGTCAAGTGATGATGCTGCAGTGAGGTAAACACCTGGCAATTAAAAATTGAACTTTAACAGCTGCTTCTCTTTATTGAGAAGCAGAATGTGTTTATATGTTTTATTGAACCAACTATATAGTTAGGAGAGATGTTAGACAAGCTTTTGAGCACAAAATCCTCTTATTCATTTTAGAAAAGAAACAGATGCAGTCTAAGCTAAATAGTAAGTAAAACAAGAACTTTACCAAGGTCTTTGAACACCCATCATTTGGTGACAGCTGTCAACTAAGCTACATTTAGACTACAGTATAAAATTTAAGACTACATCATTATCAAAACCTTGGAGTAACCAGTCCTTAATCATTTAACTAGGGAAAACATGAAGTCCCTGCCTCAAGGGAAATCTGACACTCAGAAGCTTTAATGTATTTGTTAGTTTTATGGGGGAGGGAGGGAGCCACAAACTAAAATTAGGTGGGGGAGAATTTTATTAGTTAGGTCTATGTTATAAAGAGGAAAGCCAAGACTTCATTAATTGTAAACAAAGCAGCAAACAATCTTTGTTGGTTAGATTAGAAGGTGATAGGCACCTCATAAATACATAGATGAGAGAGATTCATGATGATTAACTGGAAAGTAATTTTCTGAAGTAATTAAGACATAAAAGCAAGCTATGCCACAACAAATAGAATTGCCTCTGTTAACAAGCTTTCTTGATATGAAGCTGATGCAGTCTTGTATGAAATCTACAGTACTTGGTTAAATTTGTGGTAAGCTTTCAATTCCTCAGTGTCATAGGTGTTTACTTTCCCGTTTCCCAGTGTAATTTTTTTTCTATGAAAATGCAGTTTATTTGTGAAGCAAGAAATTTTGTAGGAAGACTCTTTCATAACAAATCTTTGTGAAAGGAAACCCTGTTTTCTACTGTTAACCACACCTATTATATTTTATGACTACATAATTTAATAACCTAACATATGTTTAGCCATGTTACGATCTGTATCTCCTCTGAAAACAGATGATCAGCTTCTGGTATGCTAACATACTACAGCATGTTCCTTTATGAAATATACCAAATAAACGTACCAGATCCTAACTGTGTTTTTAAGATCCATTTCCAATATAAAATGAAGCATGATGAAGTAGATTATTTAGAATGGTAGGTTTGTCAATCTTATCTAATTGTCTTGCACTATAACCCACATTTCTCCAGAAGTTAAAAATGATTGATGTCTAGTGGGATGTGGACAATCCATGGGAAAAGAGTATTTATTTTTTTATGAAGTACTAATGTATTGCATTGCCTAGAGGAGGGCATGAAATATATCTGTTGATCTGGTCATCAGCTGCTGCTTGTCAGATTACAAAGGAATTTAGGGTGAGTCTGGTAAGCTGTCCTGCTGTGTGAACATAAGGAAAAATCATTTTTTTAATCAGAAAGAGACTCCCAGTGAGTTCAAGAACCTATATGGAAAAGCACACACTTCTCAAAACAAAAGATGAGTACAGGGCCAGATTATCCTTGGCCTGTGTGGAAGGAAGCGGTATGAGCTCGGCTTCATGCACACAACATTCTTTGGAGCCTGTGGGAGCTCTGTTTAGTTTGCAACCTGCAGATTTTAAAGGAGTTGAGACAAGGGAGATAGTTGAGTTCTACTAGACTCCACAGTCCACCATCACCCCAAGCAGGTACACTTACCTGAAGTTATAAAAATCCATCTTGCTCTGCTACATTGTGCAATTGGCTGCATTCCTCCCCTTATGCAGGGCAATGGAAAATAAAAATCCTGCCTTTATAACTAATACTTGGTCAGAGACCTATCCCTTTTTCATCTGGATCATAAAGAAGCTATCGTAAATCACCAGCGTGAGGAATTTAGGTGAACATCTCTCCTGACCTTTGGAGAGACAAACATCTATCCCAGAACTAAAACCCAGATGCAATATAACATCATTGGTCACCTTAGTCACAGTCGGTAGAAATCTAGTGTCATTAAAAGGCACATTAAGTACCTAATACATGGTTAATTCATCTCAGTAATTGTATCCTCAGAAAAAGTACTACAATAAAACTGGTAGTTTATCATGACTAACATCTGTCCCTTGTGTCTTATTTTCTCTTGATTAGAAGAATTGTATGTAGTAAGATGTTTTGTTGTAATAGAGGGGGTTTTTTTAAATGCTTATGTACTGTTGCATATTGCTGGTGTTTTTGTTCGTTTGTAAGGGTCAAAAATGGGTGTCTTGCAATTGGGGTGGAAGGTAGTGAGGTTTGTGATGGTCCTTAGAGCCTTTGGAGTCTATTTTACAGTCTAAGTGGCTTTAGAATGAGTTCTGGACATGGAAACTGCATGCTGGCCAAGCAGGGCCCTTCCACCCATGAGGGTGGGAGCAAGGTGCAATAGGGTATGTTGGGGTGTGTCCATATGTGTGGGTGCTTCACTCCCGACCTCATGGGCAGGGCTTGGTGGGATGCACTTCTTTGTGAGGGAGCACTGTGGGTCAGATGTAAATACCTGGCAGTTTGGATCTGGCTCATGGGCCATATTTTGTCTGCCCCTGCTTTACCAGAACCTGTACTGTTGAAAAAAGATTGCCATGAAAAGGAGTGTTCTTTGCATGCAATGAAGTAGTAACAGTTTAATCCTAGGTTTAAAGTATCTAATGCAAATAAGTAACCCTTTTATTGTATTTATATGTAACAGATTGCATATATTGATTTTTTTTTTCTTTTTGCCTGCCTTTAGAAGAGGTTCCTGCCCAAAGAACGTTCAGTGAACCTGAATGATGCTGAGTGAACAGAAAAATAAATGTTCATGGGAGGTAACAAAAAGGCAGGGCAAAAACATGTGAGGTTACAACTGTAACCTCAAATTGGAAGGGGGGAGGGTCCTCTAATTTGTTGAGTTTTTACGTGGATTTTAAATTACTCACAAATTAAATCTGTAGGAGATAGAGGATTATGGGATTGTATGGAAATTTGTCTTTAAAAGATCCTGTTTTTTTCAATGTATGACTTTGTCCCACATTTTAGTTTTAGTGCTTTGGGACAGAGGTTCCAAATCCCATTGAAATAAATCATCTGTCACTAGGTTGCATCCCCCATTCAGTTAGGGACCTGCACATTCCCTGATCTTTCTCTTGCTGCTGTCATACTTGTAGAAACCCTTCTTGTTACCCTTCACGTCCCTTGCTAGCTGCAACTGCAGTTGCATTTTGGCCTTCCTGATTTCATCCCTGCATACCAAAACAATACTCTTACACTCATTCCCCAGTTGTTTGTCCAAGTTTCCACTTCTTATAAACTTCCTTTTTGTATTTTAGCTCACTGAAGAGTTCACTGTTTAGCCAAGCTGGTCTTCTGCCATACATGGTAGTCTTCCTGCACATTGGAATGGTTCACTCCTGCACCCTTATTGCTGAAAAGCAATAGGAAATGGATTGTTATGGATGCCCATGTAAAAAGCAAGATGAAGGATATGGGAATGTGCAAAGAGGGCAAAGCTACACCAACTCAGGCAGAAGATTTCAGGTTTACAAGTGGCTTACTCAGGATATGGAAAGTTGAACTCTTCACTGCATGTACAACAGCACAGATGTGAAAGGGTGAGAGGATCTTGGTTTCCCCTTCAGGGCACTCCTTAGCCTCGTCCACCAGCATATTGGGGACATGCAAATACCCAGCAGCATTCATGAAGTGAGCTTCCTAGAGTTCATAACTCAAATAGACAGACAAGGTTCCTTGGGTGAATTTGATATCTTTTATTAGACCAACCCAAATGGTTGGAGAATAGTTATTAAGCAAGCTTTCGGGTTCAAAAACCCTTCGTCAGGCTCAGGAAGCTGCAGCAGTTGGTGTGTGCTCTTCCTGGATGGAATGAAAAGTAAACAAGCCAGGGGCTGGGCTGGGGAGTCAGTTGCCAGGCAGATTATAATGTATCAAAAATCCAATGTCTATGTTTAGTCCATGATCTCTAGTATCCAGCAGGTTGATGAAATGGAGCTCATAGGCTCGTCTCTGGGAAGTGTTGTGTAAGTTTCCCTTGAGGATCAGGACTGCGAGATTGGAGAGAGAGTGGCCCTCCTGTGAGAAATGTGCCCTCACCGGTAATTGAGTGTTTCTGTCTTTGATGGATTTCCAGTGTGCGTTCATTCTGGTGCGCAGTTGTTGTTTGGTTTCTCCTACATATCTTCCATCAGGGCATTTGGTGCATTGGATGAGGTATACTACATTCCTGGAGGTGCAGCTGTAAGATCCTGGGATGCTGATGTGACTCTGTTGTGAGGTGTAGTAATAGTGGGGGTGGTGGAGATGTGTGGGCAGGTTTTGTATTTCTTGTCCTGGCACAGTCTGGATCCTTTTGGTGTGTTCTGGGCTTGAGGAAGTTTGCTTCTGGCGATGAGGTTGGCGAGGTTCAGTGCTTGTTTGAAGGCTAGGATGGGTGGCTCTGGGAAGATCTTTTTAAGAATAGGGTCTCTTTCTAATATGGGTTGCAATTTTTTGAGGATTTTCCGTACAGGTTCAAGGGAGGGGTGATAGGTCGCTTGGGGTGCTCTGGTGAACAGATGTTCCCCCAGATCCTGGTGAGCACCCCTGATAAACTTATAGGTGGCCACCAGATCACCCCTGAGCCTGCGCTTTTCCAGGCTGAAGAGTCCCATGGCTCTCAGCCTCTCATCATAAGGTCTGTTTTCCTGACCCTTGTTCATGCGCGTGGCTCTCCTCTGCACTCTCTCAAGCTTCTCCACATGCTTTTTGAATTGTGGAGCCCAAAACTGGATGCAGTACTCCTGCTGTGGCCTCACCAAGGCCAAGTACAAAGGGAGAACGACGTCCTGGGATTTGCTTGAGAAGCATCTCTGAATGCAAGCCAGTGTTTTGCTTGCTTTACTAGCTGCAGCATCACATTGAAGGCTCATGTTCATCTTGTGGTCAATCATGACCCCCAAGTCCCTTTCGCCCGTAGTACTAGCCAGCATAGCACTGCTGAGCCTATAAGGATGCTGCCAGTTTTTCTTCCCAAGGTGGAGAAAAAATGACCAATCCCTGACCTAATAGAACATCCCATGTAACACAGCCAGTAAAACCTCCCTCCCTAATTTCTGCAGTAAATTAACAGATAGTATTTCAGCTCTACAGTCTTGTATGCCTTTTCAATAATAATACTTAGCACTTATCTAGCAATTCAAAGCCATATGCAAAAAGATATACATGGACTTAAAATTCCCCAGGGAAGTAGATAAATTTTTGTAATCTTCACCATTTTTACAGAAATACATGTGTGGAAGATAAGTAACTTGATCTGAGTCACTGAACTCATCTGTAGCACAGCCAGGACTAGAATTCTTAGTTTTTGACTTCCTTAGCTCCAAGTTCAGTTAACCAAAATATGCTGTTTTTACTGAAAATGCTTAGCCAAGGAACTCTTGATATATCAAAAGCAACAGTAGTCTGTAGATTATTGATGAGTTAAAAAGTGTTTTAGCTTCATGGTTTCTATGATTTGTGTGTACCTCATACTTATCACAATAATTTTGCAATCTCTTCTGTATTTAAAATGAAACCCAATTACATCCTGAAGCATATTACAGCTGTTTTATTGTTGTCCCTTTTTAAAAGAAGAAATCTAGTTATGATATTGTCTCTTGTTGTCAACTTGAGAACTACCAACATTACTTTGCTACATCCTAGTGAATAAAGAGAAGCTTTAGTCTTAATCTACAGTAACTTCCATCTTGCTCATTCAGTTGCTTTGTCCAAGTTAGAGTTAGGAAAAAGGAACAGGTACCCTGGGCTTGATTTTTGAAAGGTGAATATGTAGACTTGTTTGACAAATTCCACCTTTGGACACTCAAATTGACTTTTGAATGCTTAAGATAAGCAATTACACACTTAAATAATTGTATTAACTATCCAGAAGCAGGAATATTCAGGTACATCCTGTTATTTGAAAATAAGATTCCTAATATCCAAGATGAGGTAGCATCATTACAACAGTACTACAGTACATCGGTACTTCAGCTCAATAAATCTTAACAATGTTTTAATTTCATTAGCAGTAGACTATAATTATTTATGTGAATTCTAGCTATCCAGAAAAAGCTAAGAAGGCCTCATCCCACTCAAATGGGACATATGTGTAATGTGTGGTGTAGCTGTGTTTGACTGAAAAATGTTGAGTTATATAACAATATCCCCTCTCCCTTGTTTGTTACTTGCAGTCACACAATGTAATTTGTCCAAGAGCCAAAATGGAGACATGCTGAATATGTGAATACCAAGGAAGTGGTTTCCTTAGCAATAACAGGCGTGTGAAAGTCAAAACTTCCTTTCCTCCTCATGTGACCTTTTTCAAAGCAATTCAAGGAGGGACAATAGAATTGAATTCCAAGCACCCACAGTATTCATGAATTGCTAAACAATGATTTGCCAAGAAGCCAAATTTCTTCAGCTTTTTACTAAGGTGAAATTGCAATTTATTTACAAATTTCTAGCTAGTTTGTTTGCATGTGCTTTTTTTCTAAATTAAAATTGCCTAAAGTACACAAATACATGTGCAGAAAACTGCCAGGCAATGTTCTTATCGTTTAATGCCAAAAACAAAACTTCTTTTGTTCATAAAGTTCAAATTCTTTCCTGTTGAACAGATACAATCATACAAAACTTTACTAACTTGTTTTTAATGGATGAACTCCCATGGGTTTAATACCAATTATTATAAGTAACATTTTATCCAGAACTAATTAGTTAGAGTGATATTCACTACTCATTGTGCAGGGAATTAACCTCATTCACCCCAGCTGCAGCCTGCAGCACAACTCTTCTGCAATACCAACTGCAACCTGAAAGCTTTGTGACCGACCCTCTGCATCCTTAATGACAGCAAAGATCATAGCTCACAGGATAATAATAGTTACAAGAGCCTACACAAGCTTCCTGTCCAAAAATCCCAAGGCACTTTACAAAAGGTATTGACTGAACTTTCTGCAGAGGTAGGGAAATATTATTCTCTCCATTTTATACATATGTAACTAAGGTGCAGAAAGGATGTTACATGTTCAAAGGTTATGGAGGAAGTTCCTGTTAGAGCTAGAAATAGATCCCTCAGCTCCTGGCCAATGATAACTCAAGAAAAAGAGATACATGATTGGCTGAAACAAATATAAGCAGAGTTTTTTAGTTTGGCTGCTGTAGTTCAGTGTGCCCTACCAGAAGTCGTCTTATGACCTATGCTGTAATTAGCTGTTACAGAAAAGATTGCCCTCTATGGCACCCTGGCCTCCATAATATTGCAGCTGTTCATCAGTGAGTGATGGTGGGTATTGCATCTATTCTACTGATTGGCAGTACGTTTTCTCTTCCGACTGTAAAGACTCATGTCTGACTTGCAGGTCCTGCCACAGTAGCTACAGGTGTTCATGGCACTAGGGGCTATTGTACTGATAGGCTGCTTCCTTTGGTCACTTTTCTGTTGTAATTTGAGTGACTATTTCTCATCGGGATGTTGGAGTCATGATTGAGAAGGCAGCACCACTTTGTCCTGTCTCTTGCTAAGCCCTCCCAAAGGTCTGGGTTGATTCCAAAAGCCTTCATATCCTTCTTTCAGACATCTTTGAATCACAATTTTGGTTGCTGTATTCTTCTCTCCCCACCTGCAATTTGCATCATACCTTTAAGCTGAAGCACTTTTTCTGTTTCTAGGCTCTAGGCACCTCACCAAATAGGTGTGGAATTTCTCAAGGACAGTCTATAGAAGGAGGATGGTTGAGTTTGGAGCCAGTCTCAGTGAGCAGCATGTGAGAGCTGACAGGGAAAACCTCATGTGAAGACTTCTGTGAAGATTTGGGGGAGAAAGGTAGCTGACCCATATTTAGTTATATCATGTCCATCTCAAGAAAGGAGTACCTGTGATGCTTTCTTCCTTTTTATGTATTCTATATTAAATCAGAAATACATTAATTTAACACACAATGGATGTGTCTACATGAGATGCGTTACTTCACAGCAGACTAATTTGCTGCACGGTAAAGCACCACTGCCTACACATGAGTAGCAATTAGGGTGCAGTAGACTAGTTTACTGTGCTGCCAGATAGTTCTGTCAGATACAAGTGGTATCTGCCAACCTAGTAAATTACTGTGCTTAAATGCACGTGTAGACAATGACCTTGGTATTAATTTACTCCGGGTATGTTCAGTTACATTGATTGCACATACAGGCGTACCCAGTCAGGGTAGCAGTGGAGAGGAAATTAAAGGCAACTGCGAACTAGTGGCAGACAGGTGGCTCTCCTGAGGGTGTTAAAGCCAGAATCAAGAGAACATAGAAAGACTTTAACATCAGCAGGCTCAATAGAGGAGGGTCACACAGAGGATCAACAGGATGCCATTAAACAGAAATAAGGTAGGTAAGTGATAGTTTGGTTCAGTGAATTGTATTCTTCAAGGATTACAGACCTAGCAGGCTGCAGTGGGCTGGCAGAAAGGCCAGGTCCCCAGGGAGGTGACATGGGGTACAAAATAAAGCTTCCGGCCCTAGGGGTCAGGCACAAACATAGAAAAGAAATATTCATCATCAGCATCATCATTATTTACCTGTCCTTGATTCAAGGGTTGGTGGTACAGTAAGACAGATCTCTCCACAGTTTATCCTTCACGTATCCTGTTTTTTGATTGATCACCACTCCCATCAACTCCTCTATCCATACTCTATGTTCCTTATCTCTTAGTCCTCTTCTCCTTTTCCTTCCAGACATAGTTGAATCATTTTATTCTTTAGGCCACTGTCTTAAGAAGTTCTTCTAACTCCTCTCTTAATGGCATTGATAAGAACTTTGCTCTGCCGATCTTCTCTATCACACAAATTATGGGGGAGGGCAGTCACACCGCAGGAAAGGCTGGGGATACAGACTGACTCGGACATGCTCTCAGCATGGGGCGACCAAAACTTGATGGCCTTAAATGCAGAGAAGGGTAAGGTGCTGCACCTTGGTAGGAAGAACCCCCAGCATACTTACAGGCTTGGCAGTGCTACACTCACTAGCACCATGACCGAAAGAGAGTGGGGGGGAGGGGGGGGATGGTCTTGATTGACCACAAGATGAATATGAGCCACCAATGTGATGCTGTGGCTGGCAAAGCTAACCAAACTCTGGTATGCATCCACCGATGCATCTCAAGCAAAACTAGGGAAGTCATCCTCCTGCTTTACTCAGCCCTGGTGAGACTGTAGCTGGAGTACTGTGTCCAATATTAGGCCCCCCATTTCAGAAAGGATGTGAAAAAGCTTGAGAGAGTACAGAGGAGAGCCACTCATATGATCCAAGGCCTGGAGGGAAGGGACTGAGACTGAGGAACTTGGGACTCTTCCTTCTGGAGAAGAGAAGGCTCAGGGGGGACTTGATGGCAATCTATAATTACATAAAAGGGGCACATCAGGACCTGGGAGAACAGCTGTTCACCAGAGCTCCCTAAGGGATAACATGGTTTAACAGCCATAAACTCCCGGAAGACCGATTTAGACTGGATAAAAGAAAAAAGTTCTTCATGGTGCAAGTATCCAGGGTCTGGAACAGACTCCCCCCAGACTCTGGACGCCTCCAAACAACAGGTGGATATATTTCTTGCTGAGGTCACTTGATCCCAGCTGACTTCCCACCTTTTGGGCAGGGGGGTGGACCCAATGATCTCTTGAAGTCCCTTCCAGCCCCTAATGTCTGTGAAATCTATGAAATCTACAATCGTTAGATTTTTTTGCAGTCCACAAAATTCTCAATATTTTCTGAAAAGACTGCATTCCGAATGTTTCTAGTCTCTGAATGTATTTCTTTTTAAAGGTCCAGCTTTTGAAGCCATATATAGCCATCATCCACACAGTTGTCTTCAGAAAAATCTTATTTTGGTTTTCAGGCTGACCCTTTTATCCTTCCAGTTCATATGAACTCCCTCAACTAATAAGCCTAGATACAAAAACTCTTCAACTCACTCAGTTCTTTCCCTTCCATCAGAATCTTCAGGTCTTGTTCTTCTGTTTATGGCCATTGGTTTTGTCTTCAAGATATTAATTGAGAGTCCATACTCTTTCTTTAGAGTCCATACCCTTTCCCTCCTGCATCTATTAAACAAATCTCATAGTTCTACAGATGGGGTAATCAAAATTACACCTGTACATCTCAAATTAATTATGAATCTGTTGCCTATCTTAATGTTTCTAGTATGCTTCTCATTTCTGTCTTTGCTAGAATGTTGAATAGATAAGGCAAGGGCACATACCCTTGTGCCTTTACTGACTGAAAACCACTATAGCATTACTCCTGCCACTTTTACACTTGACTTCTGATTTCAATAGGGCTTACACAATGATTCCACTAAGTTTGGCTGGAATCCCATCTTGAGCATTGTCAGATTTTAGTTATCATGTCCCACTGAATCAAATTCCTTAGTGAAGTCAACAAAGCAAAAATATAATGGTTACCTGTATTCTCAGGCTTTGCTCATCATGATCCTGAGGTTTCTCACTGGAGAAAGCTTGCCAGTTGACAGCTTCTTTCAATCTCTGTCTCACTTTGTACATCTTTGGAAAAGAATTATTCCTTTTTTTGTGTGTGTTGCTCAGTATTCATGTCAGAGGAGGTATAGGCTGCCTACAGGCATTCATTTCTACAGGAAGAAATTTCTTCGGATAGGAAAATAGCCCAGGAGCTGGACTGTACAGTGCTCCTCCAGCACCATGGCTGAAGAGCTCCACAGACAAAACTTTTCTGCCAGGGGGCACTAAAGAGCAGTTCCCCCTGAGCCACTCCTGCCCTTAGGGCAGTACATTAATTGACAGCCTGCCCTCTCCCCTGCCTGAGAAGAGGGCAGGCTGTCAAGTGGCAGTTGGCAGCTGCTGAAATCAGGTTATTGGCAGAAGTGGGGGTAGTTTTTGTGGTGGGAACCATCCTAGTTCTCCCCCACCAGAGAATAGCCCTGCTCCTTACACAGTTCCAGGCTAACCTAGAGGATCTGGGGGCAGAGGAGAGATGCAGCAAGGCATTGGGAGACTTGCAGCAGGGGTATGGCAGTTTGCCATGGTCCCAGCTGACCTAGAGCAGCACAGGGCAAGGCAGGGCATTTTGCTGCAGTGGCAAGACTCCCAAGCCTTGCTGTCATGGGGTTGCTTCACCCCACCCTGCTCCCAGTTGGCTGGATGGTGCAGGCAGGAAGGGGAAGCTGGAGGGACTAGGAGCTAGGCTGGGGAAAGCCTCCACACACCTGGCTTCTGGCTCCCAGCATGCCCAGCTTCCCTTTGTTCCCTTGCCACTCAGGTGACCATTGGGGGCAGTGATTTAAAAGCTGGAGGGGCAGGTTGCCAGGCATACAGAGCCTTTCCCTAGCCTGGCTCCTGGCCCTTCCCCCCCCAACCCTTGCTGCCATACTTCCCAGCTGAGTGGAGGGTTGGGGAATTAAAAGCCAGTGGCTGGAAGTGGGATCCCCAAGCCCCATTCCCAGCTGTTGGCTTTTAAATCTCTACCCCACCACCCAGCAGACAGCAAGGGGGAGCCAGTAAAAGTCTCCTGCCTTTTCCTGAAACCCTGTTTGCAAGTGTTTTTGGGGAAGAGACACAGAACACTGGCTGCTGCTTTTTCCTCTCCCAATGTATAAGAGGGGGGAGCAGCTGCCCCCCCCACACTTCTCAAAACTGGAGTGACCCTGGTCTCAGGGAGGCAGGGACCCTTTCCCTGGCTCCACACTTCCCAGTCCCCAGGAGGCATTGAGAGAGGGGAGCGTTGTATAGATAGTAAGTCTCTTGGGAGAAACTGTTTCCCAGGAGTGTTTTAACCCTGGTTGTTGCTGAATTATTTTTTCTCCTGGGGTGGCCATTTTTGATCTGGAAGAGAAGCCTGAATGGCTGTAGACTTTTGGTTTCTATTGGGAGAAATTGATTCTCCTGGTAAAAACTGAATGCCTGTACCTGGCCAATGGAGCAAATTATGACAGCAGTTCTTTCTAAGAGTATGTTTCTGCTGGAGAATAAAAAATGGGTGAGTGACCTCTGATTTATTCTTGCATGGGAATAATCTACATTCAGGATGTAGATGCTTCTTATTTCTACCCCGGGCCATCCCCCGGGGGTGCGAATCAGGGTGACATCCGTGGACCCCGTGCTTTGAGGGGCCCCGCAGAGCTGGGTAGAGTGGCGCGGTGACTGAGCTGCCACCAGCTTCATGTCCAGTTGCTCAGAACCACCCCTGCTGCTGAATCCGCCACCAGTTTCCTCGTATCCAGGGGTGGGGTCCCACGCAGGCTGATTTGCCCCAGGCCCCACACCCTGATCAGGTTGTCTCTGCTTCTGCCCAAATAAAAAATAACATGGTCTTACATGTTTCAATATTATTATTCCCATAAGCTACAGTGAATCCAGCCATAAAGAAAATGCATTCAAAATATTTTGAAAAATAACAAACGGCATTCTTTAGCAGAAGCTAAGGCCAAAATATTCCATACAAACTCTTGTCATTTTCGTAATCTCGTTGACCTGGGATACATTTCAACCATGCTTGTTTCTTCAAAGTGTTTGCTGATACGATGCAATTAATAAATCACCTTTCAACTTCTATTACTTTTAGAAAATATTCATTAATAAAGTTATTTTGAGAGCTGATTTTAACATGCTATCATTCTGCTGAAAGATCCATCAACGAATCTAATATTTATCTCAAATACCGAGGAGAGCAGTGACCCAATATAAGCTGTGTTGCCTGGCAATCAGAATTTGTCATTTTAAGTTATTTTCACAGCAGTCCGTTCATATCCTTGGTGAATAAATGCAGGTATTATATTATTGACCTGATTGGAGGTCTTTGACAGATCTGAA